AGGGCAGTGAGCTACCACGATTGGCCCAGCCCGAGTTGGAACTCACCCCAAGACAGGGAGGACGGGTCATGGACTACAAGGAAGGCTCTCTTTCCGCTGGAGGGCTAGTTCAAAGAAGCAGCAGTTCCCCCGCCACAGCCCCAGCATTTTATAGAGTTCTGGGGAATAGGAAATAACTCTCTAGAAATATGGTCTTGGGCAAATCTCCTGACCTTTCTGGCTGCTAGTTTCTGCGTCTGATCAGATAATCTTTCTGTAATGGTCTCTTCCAGTACCCACATTCATTGAACTTTTTTCAATGATTCTCAAACTTTAGCGTGCATGAGAATCACCTGGGGAGCAATTTAAAATGCAGATTCCCAGGCTCTGCCCCCAGACACTGTCTCCATGGGTCTGGGGTAGGACCCACAAATCTCCATTTCACTGAATGAGTCTTGTCCTGGTGATCCCCATAGCATACTTTAGAAGTAATGAGTGGAATGGCTTGAGATTCTTGCTTAGACAGTTTGTGACTGAGGCAAATCTGAGCCGTGCTATGGTTTGGGAAAGGCCGAGGAGAGGGAGGAAGGGTTTGGCATAACCCAGAACTGAAGGGAAGGGCAGCACCCCCAGGTCAGCCTGTGGGCTGGAGTATACAAGTGACATCTACTAATTGTATGCTAGGAAGTTTCTGCTGTGTTCATGGAGACCAAGAATAACCAAGAGAAGGCCCCTGGCTTCCCTGTAGTATAAATGCTCTCATCTCCAACAGTCCTGGGCCTTCTCATGCCTCTAGAAGCTCTATTTTACACGCATTTTTCCTGACCCTTTGTTGAAATCTAAATAAACAAGACCAGGCAGCAAGAGAACCCAGGCAAATTTCCTTCCTTGCATAACTATAGGATTAACAATGTCTAGAATGCTTTGCAAAAGGGCAAGTGATTTTTTTTACCCTGCTTTCTTTTTGTCTCAATAGACGACACTTAGTAGATTATGATGGGAGCAAATAAAATAAAGAAAAATGATGTGGCTAACAACACCCCAGAGCTTCCCATTCCTAACCAGGGCTCTGGAATGAGAGCGCCCCCAGCACGAGGTCTCCTGAAGAGAAACGCTCCTGTTTCCTGTGGATCAGGGTCAACTGAAGCAGAAATGCAATGTAGGGCAGGCTGAACTTCAGACCCCAGCCTCCCCTACTCACATCTTTTCTCCTATCCTAAATACTTTTGGAATTTTTTCATTGACAGTTTATTACGAGTATTTTCTTATATAATTCTATATCAACATAACTGAAATTTTAAATATTCCAAATAATCTTCAAAGAATAACACATTAAATAGATATACTGCATTCTATTGCAAAAGCTCGAGGAAGGTAGGCACCCCCTCCCAAAAAAATAAACTGTTCTTAAAACCATCTCTGGACTATGTGATCCAGCAATTCCTTTCTAGGAATTTATCCTAAAGCGGTCATCATGTGTATGGGCAAAGATTTTCCTGTGAGGATGGTCATGGTAAAATTACTTAGAAGAAATTAGAAAGGAGCCAAGATGTTCTTGGGAACTCATTGAATAAATTATGGGACTTCCAAATGATGGAATATTCTGCAGATATTAAAAATCTTGTTATAGAAAAACACTTAGTGATATAAGAAAATGTTCTCTACATATTAAGCTTTTCTAAAGAGCAGGTTACAAAACTATATGTAAAGTATGTTAGAGGTTTTGTTTTACAATAAAATGATGAAAAATAGATACAAAAGAAATTAGCCTAATGATGAAATGATGGATTTTTTTTTATTTTCTTATTCGCATTTTCTGCAGTGTTCAAGTTTCCTCTAATGAGTATATATTACTCCAGGTGCGAGCCTAGACCAACGGCATCAGCATTCCCTGAGGGCTGGTTAGAAACACGGAATCCCAGGCCCCGCCCAGACCAGCGGACTCAGAATCTGCATTTTAACAAGATCCCCAGGTGGTCTGAACACACATTACAGTTTGAAAAGCAAGCTGTGTATAACTCAACATAAAAAAAAAACCATTTGAAATAAAGACAGTCTCAGACGGTGACAATTGGGTGCTCTTTGCTATTTGGAACGTAATTTTGATGTAAAGTGTAAGCAATTCTTACCTTCCACAGTCCTCTAGAAATGCCTTAACATTTCCACGTTTTTCATTTCAACAATGGGGCACGGAGCAGTGACAAGTCCCTCTGTCTCCACTCCCTCCCCCGGCCACAGGGCCACAAAGCCCAAGCTCTGAGATTCTGCGTGAGGTAGAGAAATATAGATTCCTCAAGAGCTGCTATTCAAGCCATAAGCAGCATGTGCCAATGCTCCACCCACAATTCTGCTTCAGTCTCCATTAAGCTGCACATCTGGCTGTCACACAGTCTTTTGTGGGGACATCTCAATGGCAGCACTGATGCTGCCTCTCCCTGGGGCCAGCCCTACAGTGGCCTCCCTGTCCTCTCGGCATGTGATGTCATGAGCATGAATGTCCTGCCAAACATTTAAGATGCTGCAGTTGACATTGTGTACATTGTATAGAAAAACACTGACACGCGGATTGGAAATTTTAAAAACACACACACACAGGGCAAGATACAACCAGACCTTGTTCTATTGTTATCCCAAAACACCAATGCAGCGCAAATAAGTAACTTGTGTTCTTTAAGGACACAATCTTCTCTTTTTTGTTACTCTCGGTAAAACTAGCATCCTTAGATTTGGAGATTTCCTTGAAACATTCTTTGTGTAATTTGGTTTCTATCAAATTCTTGGAAAGCATGAGCTGAACTGGCTCATTTCAAACCAAAGGTCCCTGCATGTGGGATCTTCACACTAGGCCGAAGAGTGGGGGAAGCGAGAGGTGCCTCTCAAAGTCATCTCATCTCTGAGGACCGTCAAAGAGCGATGAGGGAGGGAATTAGCTGCTCTACAGAAAGGCGTGAGAAAGAGGCCCTTCCTCTCACTGTTTCTCAAAGTGTAGGTGGGGATCACCTCATCAGAATCACTGGGGGGTGCACAATAAAAAGGCAGATTCTTGGGTACCAACCCAGAGCCGGTCTCTGCGGGTGAAGAGAGAGAATCTGCACTTTACATGACTCCCTAGCAGTGATTCTTAAATTAGAGGGCAAGGGCTTCAGAGCTGGAGAGCTTTAAATCCAATTTTAGTTCTATATAGTACCTATCTGATGCCAACAAATAACCTCAACTCTCCACACCTCGTCGTCCTCGTCTATAGACAGGGACTGTAAGGAGGATGAAAGTTCCTGGCACAAGCAGATCTCAAGAGCATGAATTCCCTTCTCCCTGTTATTCAGGTAGAGCTCTTGGGGTCTGCCATTGTCTTCCGGGTGACAAGTATGGTCACTGTATCTGCCAGGCTCTAATAGAGCTCTAATGAGAGCAGCGAAAACCAAGACGGAAGCCCTCTGAATGGTTACTGAGGCTGACCTGCTGTCCTATAGCTGTCTTTCTAATCCAATAGCCACTAGCCCTATGCTGCCCTCGGGCACTTAAAGTGTGGCTAGTATGAACTGAGGTGTGCTGCAAGTGTCAAATACACACTGGAATCCAAAGACTCAATACAAAAAGAAGGATGTAAAATACCCCATTAATAATTGATTACATATTGAAATGATAATATTTTGGATGTACTGGATTAAATAGAATATATTAAAATTAATTTTGTTTATTTATTTTTTATTATTTTTAGCTTTCTTAACGTGGTTTCTAGAAAGTTTTAAATTACATACGTGGCCCCTACTGTATTTCTACTGGACAGAGCTGTTCTAGAGGGACAGCCACGCCGCCCTCCTTCCCTCACACTACGGAGAAACCTAACACCAAAGTTATGACCAGCAAAATGGAAGTCCCCAATTAGGCAGGCAGCAGTCAGCTAGGAGAGACTTGGGGTGTCTCTTCTCTTGATGCAGGGGACAGAGGGGATCAAGTAGTACACCCTCTTACATGAGAAAGCAAGCAGCAGCCTCAGGGAAGGAGGCAGGCGAGCGGGCACTTACATACACAAGAGGAGAGGAGAACGACTTGACACTTCTGATTCCAGCTGGCGGTTGTCAAGAGAGGAGACATGCGGACTCAGTTTTACTTGTCCACCCTCCCTCTGAATGCCTTTTGCTCCATTCATGTTCACACTGTCATGCCGTGACAAGTTTTTATGAGGAAGGAAGGGTCCTCCAACATCATCACATGACTTGTGTCCTTACACAGCTGTATCATAACTAAGCAAATATTTTGATCAACGTGAAGATTGTCCTTTCTGCCTAAGTCATTTAGAAATAGTTTCCACCAGGTTATAATCTCCTAGCATACATAAATATCTACAAAAACGACCGGCCCAAATGGATGTTTCCAAAGAGGAAATGTTTGCCGGTGATTATACTATCAGCTAGTAAAATCAGTATTTTTGGAAAAATACTGCCAAAATAGATTGTAATCTGTTTTTTTAGAGTAGGTTCATAACTTGACAGAGTTTCTGGAATAGAAAACAAACAAAAATCAACTCAATGTGTCTGTCCTTGTTCAAAATTTTCAAACACCTACATGCAGATGTTTGAAAGAAATGTATTTAGATATTATGACCTAAAGATCCAATACAACGGGTTTGTTTTATCCTTCCCTTTATACCTAGCCACTTCCTTTACTGAGTGTTCAGAGGAGATCAGGGAGTTTTTATATATCTGGTCATATATAAATGGGCAGCAATCTGAAACCAAGCGTCAAGCATTGCTGCCCATTTATGTATGACTCAAAGATGCCATACTGTTACTCTGCTGAAGAAACCTAGAGAGCATCTAGGTTACACTTTTATGACTACACATTATCATCATGATATTCTGTAGTGAATAAAATATCACTTCTTAATTATTCAGCACAGTGCAGAATGACCTGTTCTTGAATCACTGATCAGGATCCCTAGAAATTACTAGTAGAGATTAATGAAAATTTTTTAAATCAATAGAAAATACCTCTGGATACAACAGAATATGAAAGGCCAGTTTTGCAGACAGCAGGTTATTTTATTGCACAGATTTCACTTAAAGAACAAAAGGCACCATCAATGTTTGGAGGGTTTGGGGTCTCAGATACTGATAGACCATCAGTGTTTACACCCGTAAAGCCAAATTCAACAGTACAATTTATGTTGAACAATATCACTTCAAGATGGCTAACAGAATGGAAAGAGAGAGAAAGGGGGAAAAGCCTTAAAAATGTGTTAAGTTGAAGCACATGCAAGTGTAGGATTAAAAACTACATCACACAAACCTGCAAATCAAAAATGTTTTGTGGAATGTCAGAGTTATACTCACTTATATTGTTATTTACCATATAATTAAAGTTTATTTGGTTCATTTCCTTCATACTGATGAATTGAGAATTTCAGGAAAACCATGGTTATAAAAATGACCAATCTTGAAAAAGTATGTACAGATAAATTTAAAATCAGAAACTAAAAAATATCCCCACCCTTTGCCCTCAACCTACAAAAGGGAAACTTTCCCATGGAGACAAAGTTCCCCAATTCCCCTCCCTCCCCCACCCTATGTGCCCAGTTCTATCTGTTTCTATCGCTCATAACTAAATGACCTTGGAGCTGAAGAGGAGAGAAGGGAATAGAGAGGCATCTTTATGAGGCTCCCATTGTCATCTGTAACAGTCTGAAAAGTGTCTTTTATTTCTCTCCCCCACACCTAACTCAGCAATATTTGCAAGACATTTAAAATTTAAAGAGAGAAAAACAAGAAAACAAATAATATATACTTTAGTGGGGAAAAAAAAAAGAACGTCCAAGAAAAGAGGTAACGGGGCAGAACCATGAGAAAAATGTGTGGGCATTATCTGAGCGGAAGATTTCTTTTAAGGCAACAAAAAAGGTGGTGTTAAGACTACAAAATGCCAGACCGATGCTTTTTGAGACCTTTGGCTTCGGAGCCTGGCAGAGGAGTGGACATCCCCCTCCCTGGGGCGAGCAAACCTCGGGGCACGGGCCCAGCATCGACAGCACCTCTGTGGGCAGGCTGACAGCTCTCTCATACATGGGCACTCTTGGCGTGAGTCGGGGAGCTGGAGCCCGAAGAGTAGTAGAAACGGTTTTCACCAAACGCCTGAGCATCTCCGGCACAGCAGACGATGACACAGCCCCCCACGAGGCACAGCACAGAACCAATCCAGCCCGCGTACAGGGAGTAGCCAAAGCTCACGATGGTGGTCTCACGGTGGGCACACACAGGGAACCAGATGGTGGCGACCATGGCGCAGAGAGCTGGGGAGACACGGAGAGGGCTGTGAGTGGGCATACCCATCACACACCACGTGCAGCAGGCAGGCTCCCCTTCGCTCCACATACACACACCTCTGGCTTCCAACCAACTCCAAAAAACTCTGATACACACAGCTCTGCCCCCTCAGCAATCTGAACCCGAAGGGTTGCATCTATAGAATAAGCTGACCAAAAGTTTATGTCAAACTGCTGCGTCCTTATTTTTTCGACAGGTGGCAGGGACAGAAGAACTCCGATGTAAGAACCTAGAAATAAATAATTTAAGTCCAAAAATATTTATTTGTATTTACTTATATATCTTGACTTTACATACTATTGTTATAATTCTATTATTACACTTACCTACTTGTATTATAACGATCTCTTTCTATGCCTGTTTCCCAAGTTCTGAGTTCCTTGAAGACAAGTGCCACATCTACCTTATGTTTGCAAAGTCAGTGATTGGCTCGGTACCAAGCACATGACATTTGCTCAATGTATAGTAGTTGAATGACTGAATGACATGAGCTATTCAGAAATGAGAAGCCAGATGGTGCCCACTTCAATCTTCCTCTCTATTTTTTCAATTTGGTCAATTCACATTACAAAGACCTGATGAAGCTATGAAAATTCTCTTGCTGCCGCGACTATTGCTAGACATAAGGGGAGCATCAGCTAAGAGTTTGAGTTTGTGTTATGCTGTTCACAATCACAAAATCTCAACACACAAATCAACAGTTCTTGGAGTAAAAGAATTTACACACTCAAGGATCTTATAGTGATGATATTTGCTGTGATGGGTCACAATGGCAGAACTTTATGGTCTGGTACTGACCAGTCTAACTTTCAGATTTGATTGAGATTTTAAAGACGAGATAAGAAACAGCCTCTGCATCAGTTACTTCTTCCCCTCCTCCTAAGCAAAGCAACAAAGCAAGGGCAGGCAGAAGCCTACATGGAATTAAAACGGCTTTGGAACCTCCAGACCAGCTCTGTGAAATAGGGTAGCCACAGCGACACGGACTATTGAATGTTTCTCACGAGGCTAGTGAGACTGAAAAACCGAATCTGAATTTTAATTAATTTAAATTGAAATGGCTACATGTGGCTAGCAGCTCCCATACTGAACAACTCTGCTCTAAACAAAGTAACTCCGTATCTTCCTTTGGTGTCTTCTGATTTCTCACAGCTGCAAGCGGGACAGAAATTTTAGTTAAAGTTTTCAGTTGGCATGGCACTTGAAGGAGGACAGACGTTAAAAAAAAAATGAGTTTTCTAATCATCAGCCATAACGGCCTCAATAAATTCAAGACAGGGCATTGCAAGGAGTCTGCTGTCTGTTTCCTGGGGTACCCCTGGCCCTTTCAACTCAGCAAGCTTTTTCTGATTTCTACGCATACTGAATGATTTTCTAACTTCCCTCTGTGCCCACAGAGAGGAAATATAAGTTTTCTTTACTAACTTCTAAACTGAGGAAAAGATTTAAGACTTACCCATTTTGAAAGACCTTTTAAACGATCTCATTGTATTTGCATAACTTGTAACACAGGCTTTTGTTAACAACAGACTAAGCCCACCCCCACAAGCTGGGGAGAAACACACATAAATAGAAATGATTCTTATCCTAAAAAAGTACAGGTTCCAAGTGGAAGTCAGAGGGAAGAAAGTGCATTTGGGAGCTCTGAATTGCCCAAATAGGCTTTCTAATAGCCTAAATTCACCCCATTAATTGTGAACTAGTCACACAATTAAGGAGTTTATATACATTATCTAAGAAGCTAAAATCCAAATGTTAAGGGCTTCCTTTTTCTTAAAGAGTCAGCACAATCATGCCAGCTTCTATAATATTTTTATATGAGATACGATGAGGAGATATATCTTCCTTCTGTGAATAGAATGTTCAAGAAGATCAGTGTTAACCAGAACTTCCCTTTCCAGCCCAGGAAAACCTTAGATGCAGGGACAAGTCTTTTTCTTTCTCTTCCCCTGGCCGCGGATTTCAAACCAGGCTCTCTCGGAGAACCACGGGGTATTGTCACAGTCATACTCTCTGCGGTGCACAGAGAAAAACTTTTTCTTTATCAGGATGAGGGACAGAAATCTCTTCTAGAGTGTTTCAGCCAGAGACAACTACTGTAAATTTTCCATATCAATACACAGTCCAGCTACGCACCCCTAGCCCCAAAAGTGGGCATTTGCTCTGCTATGGGCAAAAACAGCAACCCAGCAAGGGCTTCCGAACACACAGGCTTGTTTAGAGGAAAAGAGTGGGAGTGAAAAGGAGAATTCCATAGGAAAAAAGGATTTGCTTCCCTTGGGGCCAGCCTGGTGACACAGTGGTTAAGTTCACGCACTCCACTTCAGCAGCCCAGGGTTTGCCGGTTCGGATCCCGGGCTCAGACCTATACACCAGTCATCAAGCCGTGCTGTGGCAGGCATCCCACATATAAAGAAGAGGAAGATGGGCCAATCCTCCTCAGCAAAAAGAGGAGGATTGGTGGCAGAATGTTAGCTCAGGGTTAATCTTCCTCAGGAAAAAAAAAAAAGATTTGCTCCCCAAACAACTGATTTGGTTCAATCCAACCAATCTTTCCTATAAACAATTAACCGGTCTCAGAACATCTCATGGTTCAAATTAAGTTTTATATTTTCAATTACGTTGTATTTATACAGACAACACATACATGCACACACACAAAAGCATTCCTCACATTTCATGTAAACCTAACTTTACTTTCAGATCGGGTTTAGATTTTAGTGACTAAGATAAGAAATTGCCCCTAATTTCATTTAATTCTTCCCCTCTTCCTAAGCAAAGCAATAAAGGAGGTTATCATCACATAAGGAAAGAATCAGGCTCAATATTCCAAAAGTAACCATCAGTCTCGATTTTGAGAGTTTTAGAGATTTTCTTAGATTTTATTCCAATATAATTCACCAGAAAAAAGAAAAATCAGAAAAATGTCTAAATCTTGAAATAATGAACCTACAGGACTGGACAAGTGAATGGGTGGACGGATGGACAGATGGATGAATGGATGAGAGATGGTCTCATTTCAATTCTGCTCTCCACTTCACACACACCAAAACTGACTTCCAAAATCGTGAACCCTTCATGTGAGTTCGATACACTTAAAGTTACAAACTCACGATTTACCTCATTAAAGATTTCCTTGTTTTTATAATCCATTCAAAACAAGGCAAATGAGCACCAGCAAGCTCTTACTTCCTAGTAGATAAATGAACTCTGGGTGGAATTCCTGTGGCTCTCAGAGGCGAACCACGTCAAAACTACCAAAAGCGGACAGAGCGCCACACAACATGAAAGGAAATGAGGGCTTCACCGGGAACAGTGACCGTCAATTGAACCCACAGAGAAGAATGTTTAGAAACTAAAAAAGGAGAATTTATTCAATTTCAGCAATGGTTTGAGGGGAAAAAGGGATATGCTGTAACCAATAAACGTAAAAGTGCAAGTCAAATCATTATTTAACTTAAAAATGTGAAATATTAATAGAATTGGCAATAATTTGGGGCTTTTTTAAAGACACAGAAGGCCTGCTGGATTTTTTTCTATTTGCAGATACACTACACACACACAAAACACATTCAAAAAAGAGTTTGTAATGGTTCTCTCCATTATTTGGGGAAAATATAGAAAACACTTTTCGAAGAAAGTCACAGTTACCGGTAAGGTAAAGAAAATTGAAGAAAAATAAAGGGAATTTTCATTGCTTTTCTTTTTGTGTCATCAGAATTTATTTTTAAATTAAGGCTCTCAGAAGAAGACAGGAATTTTAACGCTCAGATTTTTCAATCTGTGTCTCCTCTTCCACCTTCAGAAGATGAATAGTAGGGAGAAGGGAATCTGCCATTTGGGGGGAGCAGAAAGTGGAAATTGGGGACATTCTTAGCTGAAGAAAACAAAAGAAGAAGGAGGAGAGAAGAGAAGAAAGCTTCGCTGTGCAGACACAGATCCATCTGGGCTCATAAAGAGACACACAAGAGAATTCCTTGCTTCACAGAATAAAACTGTTTGCCTCTTTTGATAACTTTCAAATGATCTAATACGACGTGTTGTTTAGTTGATAGAATGCACCCTACTTAAAAGTTAAGAACAATCTTGATGTAACCAAACACAGAAAATATTTGGAAAGACAATTTTAGAGCAATGAGACGTAGGTGTAGCTTTTAATTTCTTTAGGGATTAGATGACATATGGTAATATATGGAGTGAAATAAATGTGACGAAGTTCAATAAAATTGGTACAAGTGCGTTTGCCTGTGGAGGTAACAACTCAGAGATAGAGAGAAAGACAGACCGAGAGATAAAGAGGCCCAAAAAGACAGAAGAGTACCAGACTCTGACAGTCCTTCCTTCCTCCAATGAACACCTCTGTTTTCGGGCTTTGTCAGTTTCAGTACTAAGCATGGAAAGAACTTCTAAAAGCATCATTTCTAGCACACAGAAATATTTTCATTAAAATCACTTAAATTACTCCGATGTAAATTAGTAATACTGGAAAAAATCTGCCTTGGTATAATAACCAAGATTTGCATCAGAAAAGATCTGGGTACTGGAAGAAAAGGAGAAGTGTGTAGATGAAGCACATCGGCCATGAGTTGGTCATTACTGACAATGAGCTTGGGTTGATGGGGGTTCATCATACTTTCTACTTTAGCGTATTTTTAAAATTTTTCGCAATAAAAAGTTTTTTTAAATCCCCCTCCATTTAACATTTTCCAGTGCACTGACCACCGTCTTCTGAAATCAATGCTATTATGACACATGATCTAATCAGCAATTCACTTTGAGCTTTTCACAAAGGAGCCAGTTAACTCAAGGCAACAAGCAACGAGATTTCTAACAGGCAGCTGCGTGGAGTCATATTTATTTGTGGTTTCCTTATAATGGAAAACTAGAAAAATTTTTGTTTTTCTTTTTTCATTTGCCATTCTCTAAGTTTTCACTTAAGAAAACATTGCTGCCAAGGACATACTTCTGTTACACCATGACTTTTATGAAGATCTAATATTTAAACAATCATCAAGTCAATGGAATATCTGAGTGTATTATTTTCCTGGCTTGCTTTCAACATTTTTTCCCTTGTTTCTATTCCACACATCATTATCTTTTTTTTTCCTATAACCTTTTTTGAAAGCTAGCCTTATGGCCATTTGTTCATTTTTTTTTTAAATCACAGAATTTACAGACAGCAGAGACTTCATAAAGCAGTTAATCCCTCCAGTTTTATTGAGAAGGTCATTTAAGCCACAACAATACTAAGATGCCACAGCCTTTCCACTGCCCATATGAAATTTAATTTAGATTAGGGACTTGTGCGTATAAAGCTAATGACTTTGGAAGAAGACTTTTTCTAACTATTCTCTTAAGGCCCCGGGATTAAGGGCATCTCTGTTGATTCCACACACAAGGATTCCCCTCCCCATAGGATGCCTGACTTTGTGTACAGGATGAGCTCAATCTGTCCCACATTTGCACACATCCTTCATTTTACTGTAATTTCATTATTAACCTGTAAGTTCCAAGCTAAAACAACTTTTTTCCAATACAAATAGGATTCCTGGGGCCATATTTTTAGAAAGAGAGAGAAGATGAAAAAATTTCACTTAGGAAGGAAAACACATTTCCTTTCCTTCCATTCCTTACCCTATCTCCCCAAGAAACACCCAAATCAAATACTTTCTAACTTCTAGAGAGGTGAGAATTAAACTGAATCAGAACTAACTTGACCATTTTCAGTTGGGTAGTTTAATATGGCTTTTTATAAGGGAATAGGCAAAAAAACTCCCACTATTGATTCCTGCACTCTGGTTTCTACAAAGTGAACAAAAGAAATATTTCTGTTATACCAAGATGCAACCTAGTGTTTCCAGGAACACCTCATTGTCTCTCCTTACCAGCTGTGTGTGTGAAGACTACCCTGCAGAAATTAGGATCAGAAGAATGCCGAGCTGCCCTCTGGGTTAGCTCCGTAGCTCCTCTGACCAACAGCAATAATAATAGCAATCATTTATTGAGCACTTAGTTGTTGAGCCAGACATCACGCTGAATAACCTGCATACATCATTTCACTATTCTTATCAGCTTCGGAAGTAGGCATTATTGCCCCCATTTTACATAAAGGCTCAGAGACATTAACTGCCCCAGTTCACATGGGTAGAAAGTGGTAGATCTGAGATTCAGTACAGTTGGTCTGACTCCAAATGATAAGATAAAGCAACTCAGGGCACAGGCACCTCCTGCCTTGGCAGGGGCTCTTGAAAAGCCACAAACAGATTAGATTCACTTCAGATCATCCCAGATCTGAGGAGCCTGCTGCTCCTTGAGCTACTCATCTGGCTTAAGAAGCCAGCAGCATCAGGCTCTCCTTTCTTCCTCCACAGCAGGAACCAAATCCTCACGCCATTAAACTTACGCCACTGAGAAGATAAAGCTGTACAACAGACATAATTTTATTAAGCTTTCAGAAAAATAATTAAAGCTTTTCAGGGTTAGGAAGAGCTGATTTTAATTAATAGCGCTTACAGTCTCCATACCAAGATTAGCTTCGACAGTGTTTCCAGTTCCCAGGCCCCGAGACCCCAGTGTGGCCTGGTCCCCCTTGGTCAGCGACCACATCTCAGCTGGAGCACCATCGGTGACCCCTAGGACCCAGCACAAGCCCAGCACTGGCTTCTCCCAGGACAGCGACAGAAGCCAACCCAGAGGGACACAAAGGGAGCCTTCACTCTCTCTTGCTCCTCCCACCCCGGCCAAGAGGGGAAACAAGGCACAGGGGCTCGGTGGGGAGAAGACAGAGGAGACCAACAGGTGCCACACTTGAGACAATGAGCTTTACATTTCCAGAGCCAGCTCGTTCCAGTCAAAACAACATCCAACCCAAAGGCCAGTGGTGGCCCACCGAGAAATCAATCCGGACAGGAGGAATCAAAGAGGAGCAGGTAACACTGGAAATGCCCGGCTACCAGAGGTCGAGGAGCACTGCCCTCGTCCCATCCCAGGCTGAGCAGCCAGAAAAGCACAGCCTTCCTGGGGGGTCCTCAATGCCCCCTCCATCCTTTCACTGCAGGCAGCAGACAGGGGCTGAGGAACTCACACCACACACTCTCCTCTCTGATCTGTCTACCTCCACCAGCCCACTTGAAAGAGACAAAGAAAAACTTTATTGAATTCAGCCAGGAAGTTTCAAACAAGTGGTTGACACGTTTTTAAATAACCCTGTTATTCAACAACGATTTATTTGTTTTTAGGAGGTTTTTTCAGACTTATTTGCCTGTATGTACGTTGCTTTTATATCTATTTTCCACAGCATTTGGGTTTGGTTTTGCTTGTTTCTAACGTATCCTCTTACTTGTGGATATTCTGTGACTCTCATACGGAAGGCCAGAATTTCTAAAGATGATGATCTAAAACAGACCCATCCTATGGCTTTGGCATCCTCAAAGCCAAAGAGAGCCTTCTAGGGCTTCTGTAAGAATGTGAGGACAGTAACAAGCAAGGGCAAATATCTCAGATGGGAAGGGTTTCACCTGGATTCCGCAAACCAGTCTCCTCGTGCAGCTTTGGTGACCCGCTGGAAAGAGAATTCAGATACAGGGATCTGAATGCCAAAAAGCACCACCAGAGGGGACTGTGTGAATTAGATGCAGGGCACGATGCCGCCTGTGTGCTCCATGTGGCACTCCCACACACATTCTTTGTGGCTGGAACCAAAATGGTCACGCCCAGATTCTTTTCTGGAAATTACAGTGGTCTTCTGGTCTTTTCACTCCTGTTACCACACACACACAGATGCACACACACACTCTCTCACACACACACACACACACACACACACACACAAACCCATCCTCTGACTTCTGGGTGGCTTCGCAAGCCCCTGAAAACCTCCAACCCTTTGCAATTTCATGAAATGGTGCCCCTACTTCTCATGTCCCCTCACCTCACGAGTGTCATTGTGGGTGACCATGACTCGGTGGCCCTGAGCCAGACAGAACCCTGACCTGTCACCCTTACCCCTTAAGCACATGTCTGAAACGTGTCTGGGGATGGGAATTCCTTGGCCCAGGAGAGCTTGACTTTCTTTCTAAGCCACATGCAGACCACCATCTCCGCACTAATGTATTAGTACACTTTGCAACAAGAGCTGCTGTTCCCAAAACTCACATCTTCTCTTAGAATTTAGAAGGTGCTGACGGAATTAGCATTCAAGAAAAAAAAGAAATGAAGTCACTGAAGAGTACAGAGCTAGAAGGAGCCTCCCTAGGTTATTAAGTCAGGCCCTCTGTGTGTATGAAATCAGGAAACCTGAACGCACACATGCCATTTGCTTGGCCTGGACTGTCCCTCTCTCCCATCCATGACCTGACCACCTTCTCTTCGATTCTCAAAACTCATCGCTGGGGTCCTCTGCTCTGGAAAACTCCTCCAGTCTGGCTTAGGTGCCTTCCTATGTGTGCGCACAGCCCGTGTACCTTTTCTGGATGAGCACACAGCACACTCTATCGAGATGTCCCAGTACACTCAAAGCAGAGGCCACCTGTTCTTCCCCAGTATCCCCAACGCCTCCCAGTGCCTGGCACTCAGCAGGTGCTCAGTGAATGCTTACTGAATAAAAGCTTGCGTCATCACTGAGTGATCTCGCGCTCTCAACATCTTACTTTTCTCTTGCCCTCCTCTTTCTCTAGTCTTAATTTATACATTAAATGAAGTTCTCAATCCTGCCTGCACGTAAGAGTCACTTGGGAATCTTTCAAAAAAAATCTTTGCCCAGCCTGATACCCAGAAATTCTGACTCAGTTGACCTGCGGTGGGACCCGGGCACAGGAGTTTTCAAGAACGAATCCCATCGGGAAGCCTGCGTGGAGAGCCACTGTGTAACTCTCTTCTGTCCTGGTTTCTCTCTTAGGTGTCCTCAAAATCCATTCTTTCTTTTTGTTTTTTAACTTATTTTTATATTCAGTGACCCCTGCAGATATTACCTATCCCTCTATATAAACTGCCCATGAAACATGAGGGATACACATGGGGGTCTATTCCGCCACAGATTCACTCGGCTTCCTGTCACATGCCTCTTGAACTCGAGGAAGGAGTGGCAAGATCTGAGACTCATCATGTTCACTCCGAGTTGGGGCGCTGTATGGGAAGCTGTCTTACCCAGCAGAATGAGCATCACGCCAGCCAGCTGGGCCCGCCGGTACTTGGCCACACCAGGCTCGTGGCCCATTCGGATGCAGGGGAGAACTGTCAGCAGCAGGAGAATGGCCGGCAGACCGAGGACCGAGGCTGCAATCATCAGGGCTCGGCAAGCCTGCACATAGCCTGGCAACGAGAGAGCAGACGGGGTGGGTTAGGCCATGGTCCCCTTGGATCCTGAACCCCGCCCCACGGGAATTCAGCACCATCTACCTTCCTCCCTCGTGCCCCATTCCAGGACTTAGAGTGTGTTCAATGTTGTTCAAGATCGTTTCACGCATTCAACCTTTAAAGCAACTCAGTGGCAAAAGAGAGAGGTTGAGGGCTGGAGAGGCTGAATGAGGGAGTCCTGGTTTAGACCACTGGGCAAGCCTCCAGGATGAAAGGGCCAAGAGCCCATTACAGTATTACACCACCTTGTGAGCGATCCAGATTCTCAGATCTTCCAAGAAGCCTTCTGTGACGGGCTGCGTTGGGTCCAGCCTGCTGTTGATACGCTCTACCTGTGTGACCTCGGGCAAGTTACTGAACTGCTGTGTCTTGACACTTTCCTCATCTATAGAGTAAAAATAATAATAGTACCTACATCTCTCTGATCGAATTCAATGACGATGAAATCAGTTAATTCACGCAGTGCTTAGAACACTGCCTAGCACATGCTAAGTACTCCAAAAAGGTCAGCTATTGTTCCTGGTGGTGTTACTCTGTGTATGCAGTACTTTTATCTCTGGGTGTACTTGGTAATTTTGTCCCTAACCATGTGCTTGTCATTCACATTGTGTATAAATAGTGTGTGGCCCTAACTGGGACTCAGGCTTCTTCTCTTGATAACTCGCCAAAGGCTGCTGTGCTCATGAATCCTGCCCCCCATAGATGGTCAGGCTCCGTCTCCTGCCTCACCCAGGGCGCCCTGGGCACGCTTCCACAGTGGTCCATTATTGCGTTAAAGGCATCTCTCCAGCCCCAGGGATTCTTGGAGGGCAGACACCTGCCTCGGTCTTCATGGAGCTAACACAGTGCCCACAACACATGATGTAAACAAACGATTATGAATGAAGGAATAAGCAAGTTGAAGAATAAGAGTGGAGCAAACTACCTGAACTTTATACTGTCAAATAAAATGCGACGGAACGACTTTGCTAAGAAACGGATCACAATATTTGCCATATTTATGTAAAACAAATCCGACAAGACACAGGGAGAATATGTCAGGCTTAAACGTATTGTTTCTCATTAAAACATTCTCCCTCCTCCAAAAAAAAACGGGCGGTTGTATTTATTGCTCTCCCCTTTTTGCTCAGAGGGAAGTAGAGCTAGTGGCCTGGAGGAGGCAGAGTTAATGGCAAAGCCAAAAATGAGCCCCAACTTCTGCCTCACACGCCAGGACCCTCCTACCAAAACTGGCCAGCCCGCCCTGTGCACCAGGACCCAGCTGCAGCGCTGCCTCTTAGCAAGGTACGTTCCGCCAGGATTCACACTCCACAAGGGCACTCTTCCAACCACTGCCCATGTCAGCTTCTTCAGAGTCAAAGGTAATCAATCAGTCAGGTATCTATTGACCTGAAGACCCCCAGAGAGGAGCCACAGGACGTCTGAGGCAGGACAGCGCGCCACAGCCCTATGCCCCTGTGGCTTGTAGGAGAGCCAGGGCGGACACAAAGAAGACAGTCAACTAGCTGAAATTCATGGCACAGGCTGTCCACGTGTTGGGTGCCAAGGCCATGTCTGAAAATGAAATGATGGAGACTGAACAATGTCCCTGTCTCCAGCCGAAGTGTGAGGGAGGGGGACAGCAGGAAGCAGCAGGCCCTCCCTAAAATGTACTCCATCTGTGGGATGGTCTATGTTCTCTGAAAATAAACCACTTGGCACTGAATGCTCAGTAAATTTACTTTCAGGGGAAGGAAGCAGAGAGTCATTTTATGCTTCCCTCAAAGATTCCTACTAAATACCGTGCCCAGCTTTTAATAAAAAATTACAGTTAGCGTTTACGGAACATCTACTACATCAAAGGAGGATTATATCTCTCATCTCATTTACTCCCCAAAACAACTCTGAAAGATAGGTGGTTTGATTTTCATTTTTAAAGAAGACAGCTGGGGTTCACTGAGGTTCATAACCTGTCCCAAACGACCCAGATCGGGAGTACTGGATGCGAGTCTGACCCAGGTCTACCAACGCCAGCACTGACGGCAGGTGGGTCCAGATCTGGGTTCCCCCCTCTGTCATTCTGAAAGTCCGAAGTGGAGAAAAGGAGCGTGAACGGCAGGACTGGCCCACCTTGCGTGCACCTGCCGTGTGCCGGTGGCAACGCCAGGTCCAGGCGATGATGCAGAGAGAGTAGGACGCCATCTACATCTCCAAGGAATTTAAAATGTGCTGGGAGAACCTGACTCACAAACAATGAACAAAAAATCGAAATGTGCCCTGATGGGGATAAGAGTCAAACAGCAGGAGAGCCAGGAGAAAAGGGGGACTGATTCCCACTACAAGGCCTGGGAAATAGGAGGCACTCCGGGGGGGCGGCTTAAAGCGGGAGCAGAGTCTCTGGGAAGCGAAAGGCTCATCCGAAAGGCTCATCCGGGACTAGGCACCAAGCCACAGGCTGGCGCTCAGCAGAGTCAGGCCGCTTGTTAAGGAAACCAGGACAGACCTTTAAACGCGCACCATCCTCAAAGGCTAGCGGGACAGACGGCAATCGCGTTCAGGCCAGGGATGCGAGAAACCCTCACGGCAGGACGGAGATTCCGAACAGAAAACCCGAAGGGGCGCCCACGACCTCGCCAATCACCCACCTGGCTCAAGGTTTAAATCTGAACCGAAACTGTGTTCCAGCACTTTTCAACGGGGCAGCAAGCGAAGATGGGGCCCTCGCCTGGCGTCGGGGGAGGTGGAGGCTAAGCGATTTTTCCCTCCGCTCCCCACTCCGGGGCCCAGCTGGAGAGTCGGCCCTCCGAGGGGCGCCCGCTCTTCCCCATTCCACCGAGCGGTGCGGAGGAGGCAGGGGGGTCATGCAGGCCCGCGGACGGACGCCCCCACTGCGGCGACAAGGGGTGGGGGAAATAAGATGGGCCCCGGCACCTGCGGGAACCGACCTGGCGGAGCTCGGATGGCCCTAACTTGGCCAGGACGCCTCCCGTCCCAGGAGGACGGGGACACAGCCTGCACCTGTTCAGAGCACTTGCGTTTCTCTCTGTCCTCCTCGCCTTTGCTGGGGGGAGGCTGGGGCCAGGGGAGTGAAGTACTTCTGATCAACCTATGGCCAGAGCATGGGGCAGGTGGGGCGACGTAATTAACATGGTCTGAGTTCCAACTACATGTCTATGAGTTGGTTCATTAACTTCTCAGGGTGACTCGGCCAGTGGCCGCCACTGTGATCCCAAATTCCAGATAAGAAACTGAGGCTGAAAGAGGGCTGCCTAATTCCTCTAGGTGGGACTGAAGGTGTCAAAAATGTGCCTAAAGGTTTTCAAGCCCCAAAATGTTTCTGTGGACGCCGTCTAATGTCCCCCCCGACCCATCCTTCCTCCCCCCACCCCCCCCACCCCCTCCCCCAAGTCTGCCCTGAGGATAAGGGTTTAAGAGCAGCCACTTGCGAGGCGGGGGTTCTTACCCGGCAAGATGAGGATGTCCACCAGGGGCTTGCAGTGGTACAGCCCCGTGGCCATGACGCAGTCGGCCCACAGCCCCTTGGAGCCCAGTTCGTCCAGCTTGCGGCAGGTGGGGATGGTGTAGCCGCAGGTCACCACCCAGTCATTGGTGGACGTGGTGACGATGATGCCGATCCAACCCACGAAGCTCGTGACGAAGCCCACTATCTGCAGGCACGTAGCCACCATCATAGCGACCGCCGCGTCCCTGAGCCTCGCCCCTCACTGGCTGCGCCCGCGCCCCGGGCTGGACTGAGCCTGCCCCGGTCCTCCCTCTCCCGCGCTCGAGAGCCGCTGGCCGGCGACAGCCCGACGCAGGATGCTCGAAGCGGAGACAGGCCACTAGAGGCTGCGAGCGCAGCTCCGACGGCACGACGGGCGCACGGCGGGGACAGCGGCGCGGCTGGGCAGCGCGCCCCCGCCCCCCGCTTTAAACCCCGTAGCCCCCGCCGGCGAGCGCCAATCGGCGACGGCCCGGGGTCGAGCCGGCCAATCGCAGGGCGGGGTCCGGGGTTAGGGAGGGGAGCGATCCCGAGGCCGGCCGGCCCCGTCGCACAGCCGGTGCTGGAAGTGAAATGATTCGGTCCAGTCCAAGAAATGGAGAGCGACGAGAGGGCCCGCGTCAGGCACGGGTCTGTTTGGCTGCGAATTCTCTCTCTCCTTGCTGCGCCTCTCTCATCTCTGTCTCTGGTCTTCGCTTCGCTCCATCCCACCCTCAACTTCTCCCCAGGCGCTCCTTCTTCCAGCTGAAAGCGGAGAGCTTGGTGCTTCCGAGGGGACTGGGTTCCTCCCCGGCCCAGTGTTGTAACTGATGAGCCGGGAATTGCCCTCAGGAATAATCGAAGCATTCAGCATACCGCAGTTACCGGGAGAAAGAAAGCGATGCTCTCCCGTGGTCAAAAATCATCAGGGGCTGCCATGGCCATCATAGTGCTGACAACGACAGCAACTCACATTTATCCAGCTGTGTCATGGACTGGTGCATGCATTTGTATTTATGTATTATCTCACTTAATTCTCACAGCAACCCTTTGTGGTAGGAACAATTGTTTACACAGAAAAGTGTGAAGAAGCAGCATGAGAGAAGTTAAGTTGCCCAAGTTCACACCGCTAGGAAGGGGTAGACTCCGTGGGCCGTCTCACCTCCCCTCCCCCCATCTCCAACCATTCCTGGGAACCTGTGCTGATTATCACTTTCTGAAAGTTCCTTAAGGGTTCAAATGTCCCGTTTTTGACACATTAAATGCTAGGCTGACAGCTCCAGGTCACTGTAAATAAGCGAATGTCTGTGCTCCCCTGAGAATGCTGCCTGGCCCACAGTGAGCGCTGACAAGTGTCAGCTGTCATCACCGTCAACAGCTTCAGGCCACCTTCTCTCCTTACCTTCAAATAAGACCCATTATATGCACCTTTACTATCATGTAGAAGAAGTCGCCCTTGGGCTCCATTTACATTAAAGGCTTTTAATTCTCTTTGACACATTTGGCTTACCTTATTTTATGCCTCTATGGACGACCAGGAGATGGAAAGATGCAAAGGGTTTCAGCAAGCACAAAGCCTTCTATACGACACTCTCGATCTGAGATACAGATCACAAGTCATGGGTACTATGCTTCCCCATGTCTGTGCTCGGCGTCAGGGCAAATCACCAAGTCTTCTAGGGAAGAGTGGCTTCAAGAAGTCCCCAAAGCAATCAAGCGCACAAACAGAAAGGGCTCTGTGTAGACGACAGTGTCAAATAAAAGAACCACAATAATCACCCAGGAGAGCACAGTGGTTAAGAATGAGGGTCAGGCTGCCTGGCTTCACATCCTGGCTCCGCCACCTACCAGATATGAGACCAAGTTACTTCACCCCCCTGGGCCTCAGCTTTCTCATTTGCAAAATGGAGATGAAAATAATGCCTAAACCTCAGAGGTTTCTTGATGATTATGTGAGTTAGTACACATATGGAGCTTGAAGACAATGTATGGTACAAAGTAAGTGCTCAATAAACCCAGGCTGCTATTATTATGGTGATTCAGAACTCTTGCCTCGGCCCTCTTACGTGTTCTCCCTGCATCCATACAAGTTAGATTTGTGGAAAGCACTGTATAGGATGTGTGTCCCTTTTTGGAGTGAGCCATTGTGTTTGGAGGCATTTCATCACTAGGATCTATTGACCTGGATGTTTTCAGGTATTTCCTCATAACATAAAAGAGAGAGAGAGAGAGAACTTTTAAGTATGATATAAAATATAAAAACCAAGCAACAGCAATTCATTGAAAAAGCAGTTATGAAATCTGCACTGTTATGACTCCATTAGCATTTGACATTCTAAGGATGAAAACTCAACCCCTCAGAAGTCAGCAATGCCCAGATCACCCACAAGTCACGCACACAGAGGTATTGTAAAGCTGGATTTCAGGACTCAGGCACTAAATGGTAGAAAGAGTTGTCGAGTTGTTCGGATCTTGGAATGGAACCTCCTGAGTTCATATTCCAACTTGATCACTTAGGTTGTCTCTCAACTCATGTGACCCTCAGGTTCTTCATCTATAAAGTGAGAATAGCAGATGCTCCCCCCAACCCCACCCAGGGTTGTTGTGAGGACTAAGGGAGATCATTTACACAAAGTGCACAGCACAGTGCCCAGCACGGATGGGCACTCATAAATGTTAGCTACTGTTAGTATTATTTGTAGGCAATATAGATCAGTTGGAAATATGAGTTGCCTTTGATAGAGACTAAAACTAAAATAACTAGGTTATTATTATCATTATCTGTTAATGGGAGAGAAATCCTAAGATGAATGTGTAAACAATTGCAACGCAGATGTACAAAAGGCCACCCGAGGGAGGCCAGCAAAGTGTAACCTGTTTGAATGAATTAGCTGTAAATAGAGTGTGTCCTTTGGAAAGGAAGTTGGGCAGCCATGAAGCACAGGGAATTGGGAGCCAAGAGGCACGGAGAGGGCACGAGCATCCTCTGCTATCCACAGGAGATGGTGTGGTGGTGCACAGACTCCGAGGATGGGGTCCCTGGACAGTGGAGAGGCCCCTCAAGCTGTCTCAGCTGAGGGACTTGCTCTGAAGTCACCCACGCTCCCAGCTGTGGCTCTACTGCCCAGCCCTCCTTGTGATAAGAACCTGACTTCCCACATAGCGTAACTTGATAAACTGACGTGCCAGGTCTGCCACGTGCCAGGTACTCCTTGTGTTGTGAGAGTCAGTCTCTCAGGGTCCAGTCACCCCAGAGAAGTGTCAACAGGGGGGCCCCAGACCTCCCAAAGGCCTTTCTCTCAGAAAACTGCCGTGTCATCTCTTCACAGTTCTACAGGACATAAAAGAACTAGTAAGGTATAGCTGAAGTCTGATTTCAGGCTTTCGACCCTAAGTCCAATATTCTTTCCATTATGAAAAATGTAAAAGTTTTTCCTATGGCTTGAGCATAAGTTCCTTAAGCTTATTCTTATTAGAAGATATTTAAAAGGGAGGACTAGAGAGCCAGTCAATGCCCTAAATGCTAGATGTGTACTGAACAAAAGAAACGACCTGGTTAACTGTTCTTCTGCCATTTACACCTAAAAATATTCAATAACTAGCCTGTGATTCAGTTAGAGCGCTAATGCCCATCGCAGTGGCAAATGCGTCTGCTGACCAGCGGCAAAAGCCCACGTTGAAAGCAAAGCTTGAGCCAAAGGAGTGGGCTCGCAGCGACTACTAGTGGTTGTCTTTTGTCATTGCACTGCTGTGTAAGGGGCCCGTGGCTTCTAGAGAAACGTGGTTGACCGCAGCTTCCCACGTTCCAAATGTGTTCGTTAGACCCGGGTGGAATGTACGTGTCTCTGTGAAAGCTTTCCTCACATATTAAAAAGGATGCATATCTTTAGAAAACTGAAGATGAAATCATAGGACATATATGAAATTACTTAGGTGAGATTTTTTCATTCAAAAAAAACCACTTTTAATAAGACCTCTTTTTAAAGGATCAGTTCCTCTGGTGGATTTTAATGTTTGGTAATACAAAAATTCTATATACACACACATTTTTAGAAATATTGTGGTACGAATTCATAGTGTAAACAAATGTATCAAACATAGACTTAAAAAAAGGAAATGCCCTGTGAGTTTTGGGGTTTTGTGCATTTTGTTGACCGCTGAAATCTGCGTGTGGCACAATGCCTGGCACATATAAAGGCACTTAGGTTAATGTTTTATCAGGGCACTAATCCCATTCCTTAGGGCTCCACCCTCATGACCTAATCACCTCCCAAAGGCCTCACCTCCAACACTGCCGCATTGGAGATTAGGTTTCAACATATGAATCTGGGGGGACAGGAATATTGAGTTCACAGCAGATGGGAGTCTGAAGAGCCGGTGCAGAAGCGACCAGGAGGGGGGTTAGAACAGGTCCAGGGAGCGGGCAAGAGGCAGAGTGACGGCTCTGTGGTCTCTGCACCCACCTGCTGTCCTTGGTAGAGTGGAGCCTTCTCCAACAGAAGGGATGTGTGCCTCAAGCAGGAAAATCTCTGATTACCAAGAGATGCTGGCCTCCGTCAGGGTGTCTCGGTCAAGAGCGCTTTCACTCCCATGCAGAATTTCCACCTCAGCCGCTGGGGAAAAGTTGCCTTTTCAGAGTTCCATTTCTTGACCTTCATGGTGCAATTAAAATACCATTCCTTCAGAAGCCATTTTATTCCAAATTTCCCCTCCTTCCACTTGGAGATAAAGCAAAATAATGAAAAACTTCTATCTAGAATGTTAGATTTGAGTCCTTTCCGGGGTGTTTTCTCTCTTCTGCCTTCAAACAGCCAATTCCATTTATCTACTTCTCCGCCAGGAGTTTCAGAATATGTTGGATGATATCATGTCTAATTCACCCTGTGAGATCCTACTTCCTGAAGAGCAGTAAAAGTCCTTACTTTTAGTTCAAACTGGAGACCATATTTTCTAAAAACATAATAGTATTAAAGTATATAAGTTCTGAAAGGAAAAACAAGAAAATTAACTACAAAGCCACACTATTAAATTCTCTTAGAAATTAAGAACAGGTGTTTCCATTTTGCTATCTAGGACTTCAAAATACAATTTGTCACATTTTAAGTGCTTTACTGAAAATGAATGAGTCATAAAGTGATCAAAACTATCATATGTCCTCTTGTTATTTATTCTATATAATATTAACATCATATAAAAGCATAAATTATATTCTCAACACTATACTCTTCCATAAAAAAAAAAAATGGCTAGAAGAGAACCTATGTCTCGTTCATACCAATTGTTTTCTTTGTTTTTTTTTTTTGCTTCTTACACAAGTAAGACTCTTCTTTATGAAATCGTCCTGAAGGGGAACATTCCTGGACACCAGGACCCAAGGGAGACCATTGGAGCAGGAGGGGAAGGGCACTGGGCTGGAACCCTGGCTCCATCACTTGCT